TGGATGGGTGGATGGATAGGTAAATGGATGGGTGGACGGATGGGTGGACGGATGGATGGACAGGTAGATAGATGGGTGGATGGATGGATGGGTGGATGGATGAATGGGCAGACAGATGAGGTGGGGGCCGATACTGAATCTGTTAGCTGTGTAGTGGGGGAAGATCTTTCATCTGTTCTTTTACGTAGAATACATTTCTGTGAGATATTGCTGTAAAACGAAGTATCCAAATTAAGACAAAGTAGAAAGACAGATTGGCCAACCATTTTCAAAATGACAGGTTTTCTGGAATCAACTAGATACGAGGAAGGAGACGAGCTGAAGGAAGGTGGAGTAGGGGAGGGAAAGGGTGAGATCCTCGGGTCTGGGACTTGGCAATGAGAAAGGCCAGGCCCTGAGCAGAGAGTGGACAGAGGGGCCCTGGATCAGACTGAGCAGGAGGGGCGACAGGGCCTCAGAACCCCGAGGGGACAGGGCTGCCTTGTCCCCTGAGAGGTGGGTACGCCATACCTGGGGGCCGGCTGACGTCAGCAGAGAAGAGCCAGTCTGCAGCTCTCCTGGCATCTGGACCCACCAAGTAGAACTTCCCAAAGTAGGACATGTCAAACACGGCAGCGGCCCCTCTGCAGGCCAGACACTCCTTCCTGATCTGCAGGTCCAGAAGGTGGGGGTGTCAGGCGGCTTTGGGTGTGCCCCCTATAGAGGAACATGGGGGCTTTGATCTTCCCAGAACACTGAAGCCGTGGCCCCCATCCCTGCCTGTTGAGGTGCCCTGTGGCCAAGCCACTCTGGTTTTGAGCACACCAGACATGTTCTTCTTAACACAAAGACCATCCTCTGGAACAGATCACAAAATAAGGCACGTCCACCGTCGTCCAGTTGATTATAGCTCTTATTCACCATCTGTCAGGGTCTCAAGGCAGCAGACCTTCCGGAACCAGGCTGCCTCAACTTCCCCCATGAAGTGGTAGCGAGTTTCAACTTCAGCTTTTTAATTTATAGCCCAATATGTAAGAGTTAAACACTATGATCACATGATCATTCTCGTTGACTGAACATCTGAAACTTAATTGAGGTGATTTCTAAAAGCCCCCAAAGTCTACCTTGCTGTCAAGACAGTTCTGACCCACAGGATCCTACAGGACAGAGCAGAATGGTCCCAGGGTCTCCTAGGTTGTAATATTTTTTAAAGCAAACTGCCATATCTTTCTTCCGTGGATCAGCTGGTGGATTCAAACTGCCAACCTTTTAGCTGGCAGCTTAATATTTTAGCACTGAGATAACAAAAGAAAACAAAATGCCAAATTCATTGCCTTGGAGTTGACTCTGGCTCACAGGGAACCTGTCGGTCAGGCAAGACTTTCCCATCAGCCCCCAAGGTTTTCGCTCTCAGAGCAGCTGGTAGGTTTGAACTCCCAACCTTGCAGTTAGCAGCCGGGCATTTCATCCATCAGAGCGCCTGACTGTGCCACTAGACCCCACTGCCACTGAGCCAATTCTGACTCACAGAGACTTTCCCCTGGGTTTCAAGGCTGCCCATCTTCCTCCCACACAGCCACTGGTGGATTTGAACTGCCAACCTTCCAGTTAGCAGCCCAGCACATAACACACTGCATCACCAGAATAGCAAAAAGACCAAAAGCCATATGACCGCCTCCGCAGAAGCAGAAAAATCGTTTGACAAATTTCAGCACTGATAACAGCCCCCCAAACCATGAATTGGGGGGCTTCCTCGATCTGAAGAAAGGAAGCTGCAGCCAAGTGCCCCCGTAACGCCACAGCTCACAGTGACAAAGCAAGTGCTTACCCACAAGACCAGTAACAAGACCACAGGGTCACACTGGGGCCCTGACTCGCATCACCCTGGAAGGTCAAGCTGTACAGACAACCGTGGTGTGCCGGGGTCTGCCTCCTCCCAACCCCACCTGCTCCTCGGTGGAGGAGTGTGAAGCCAGGTCACCAGCTGTGCTTCACGCCTCCTGGCCCCCATCTCTCGGAGCCTGGGGGGCGGCTGCACTCAGCCCTGGTGGGTGTGCTCACACACGGACACCCTGCAGGCGGGTGTCAGCCCCAGGGCAGCCCAGGCTACTCCTCGCTGCCCCCCACCCCCGAAGCATCACTGCCCAGCTGCTCCAGCCGTTGGCCAGGAGCCGCCGCCACTGTGGAGGTGCGGACCAGAGGGAAAGCCGGCGTGCCCGCGAGGCTGTGAGCTGGGCTGGGGCCGGTGCCAGCGCAGGCAACAAGACGGGCGTGGCAGAGGCTGCGTGCAGCCACGAAGCCAGCCTGGCATCTTCAAGGCTCCCACGTCCTGGAGGCTGGACGGGCGTCGAGGTGCCAGACGGGCCGCTCACCCAGCCTGGGAGGCTGCCTGAGGGAAAAGCGGGGGACAGGAGGCCCCCCTCTGGTGAAAGCAGCTCGTGTGTGGTGCTCACGGTGAACAAGCTCGGCTGCTGAACGTTGGAGGTTCTAGTCCACCCTGAGGTGTCTCCACAGAAAGGCCTGACCTGGAACTTTCCCTGACACTGTGACCCTCAGCCGCTGCTTTGAATCAAAACTCACCCTCCTGGCAAACTTTCAGCCAAACAATAAGCAGGCCTGTAAAGTGGCCAATAACATCTCTCCTTAGAATCACCAATCACATAAAGAGAAAGAGCAGCACTTGCTTAAAGCTGAAGTCCTGAAGGCAGAAAGGGGCAGGAGAGAGGATTCATGGAGATGAGAATCACAGGTAGGAAACGGGACGAGTGTGTTGCACTGTGGGCATTGTAGTCGATGTTATAAGGCAAATAAATGTATGTGACTGGTGGAATGGAAAACCAGTTTGTAGATGTTTACTCAAATCACAGTTTAAAACATAAAAAACATCTCATAGAAGAAAAGGACGACTGGCTAGTAAATCAGCCAGGGGTGGCCCCCAGGGACAGTTCTACTCTGACACGCATAGCGTTGGCTCGAGTGACACTGACTCAGGGTGGCCTGGCCATGGCCCCCAGTGAAATCCCTGTGCTCACACAGTCCCCTGGGGCAGCCACAGGACCAGCAGGGTCCCCGCCTGTTGTTTGCTGGTCGCTGTGACCCAGGGCAAACTCACTTGTCACTTGTAGCCAACAGCCTTTCAGGGACTGTCAAATGACCCATGGGGTCCGGCGCACAAAGAAGGGGGCCCCTTGCAAGATGGCAGCAGCAAAGCTCAGAAGCTGGCCTTGTCATCCTCCCCAACAGGTGTGGCCAGAAGACCCGGGGGCCTCAGATCTCCAGGGACCCCCAGGCCTGGCTCCACCTCCCGCCAGGTCCCTTCTCTGCCGTGTAGAAGCAGACAGGGAACCAGATGACCTGTCTGTGTGGGGGCCACTCTGCATAGTGGGCTGGAGGCTGGAAAGGCTGCCTGTAAGAGCAGTCCTGGGAGGGGGCCTTAAACCACACCCCCATCCCTGGAGGTCCAATGAGCTCCCACTGCACAGGGTCTGGCCGTTGAGCCACCCCCCCTTCCTGTGGAGCGAGTCTGGACTGCAGAGACCAGTGCTGGCTCTTGGGGCTTGTCCCCTACCCAGCTGTCTGTCTGTCTGGGAGATGTCTGGGGCTGTCTAGGGCCATCTGGGGCTGCCGGATGCAGTCTGGGACCGTCTGAGTGTTGTCTGGGACTGTTTTGGGCCAAGCATAGAACCAGCAGCCTAATGCACCAGGCTTGACCTTTGGTAGAGAGGACCATGAGGTGACCCAGGGGCCCACAAGGAGATGGTCCCAGACCGTGTTCTTCCCTAAATGATGGGTATGATCCACACGTGAGACCAGAGGCTGAGGTTGTGGGGACCCCTACACCTCAAGGGGCACACAGCCCAGGGCATCAGGCAGCATTTAGAGCACAGAATGATGGGTCAGAGGAGGGAAGGCCAGGCCTCGGTCACAGCCTCAGCCTGTCCCGCAGCCTCAGGAAGCATGTCCCCTCAGGCTCTGTTTATGAACAGACAGAAGGAGAGAAAGAAATCCCATAATCCCTCTTCAAAACTGAGGCAGCCAAAGTAGCATGAGTGTGGAGCCTAAACAGACCCTGCAGGGTCCTGCAGACCCAGGGAGGGCAGCCCCCACCTCAAGGCAACCCCTGAGCCCTGGAGGGAGAGCTCCATCCACTTACGATGTCGTGGTGCGGTGGGAAGTCGAAGGTGTACTCATCCCCCAGCAGCTGGTTATAGGTGTAGTCCTTGTGCACCTGGTGCCCGTAGGCCCCATAATAGTCGTAATCGAGGACCTGGAGGCAGAGGACGTGACCACCACCTGTCAGCCACCCTCCTGTCCTGCCATCGTCCCACTCTTTCTTCCTTCCATCTTCCATCCCATCTTTCTGTCCTTCCACCCACCTATCCACTTATCCATTCATCCCCCTTTCCATTCACACTCTCTCCTTCCCATATATCCTTCCTTCCTCTTTTCCCCCATTTAGCCTTCCTCTCACTCCCCCCTCCTTCATCCATCCATCCATCCATCCATCATCCATCCATCCATCATCTGTCCTTCCTCTTCCCTCTCATTCATCCATGCCCTTCTCTCGGTAGTTATATAGGATTTGCCGACACCAGATACTCTCAACACATGAGGCTCTGCTTCCGGGATGGGACCAGTGTCTCCATGGCCAGCCCACCGAGATGGTTCCCATCAACCTCTGGGCATAACTCTGTTGCTAATCTTATCCACCGAGGCCCTAGAACTCAGGGGACCATGGTTGCTATGGTGATGGGAGCGGGGCTGAACTGGGAGGGGACTGGAGAAGCAGCGCATCTGGAAGGCTGGAAAGTGCACAGAATTGGATCTAGTCTTAACCCTGAATGATTCTCTGAGTGGCTGACAGCCCTGCTTCCCTGGTGAACCTCTGATCCTGGCTCTGCCAGCTTCAGGCCCTGGTGGGTCTCTGAGTGTGGCCTCACTGACCCCAGCCTTGGGGGGGCGTGTCTCTGAGCATGGCCTCACTGGCTCTAGGAGCTGAGTAAGCTCTGAGCGTGGCCTAGCTGACCCCAGCCTTGGGGGGGTATCTCTGAGCTCAGCCTTGGGGGTGTCTCTGAGCGTGGCCTCATTCGTCTCCAGCCTTGGGTGAGGGCCTCTGAGCGTGGCTCTGATGACCCCAGCTCTGGGCCTCACAGGTGCCTGGTGTATCCGTCCCCGAGGCTCTGCTCCTGCGGCAGCCGGGGGGGTCGGCTGGGAAATCTTGGAAACAGAACACCCCGAGGAATAATCGTGCTCAGTTCCATACTCAGACGAGCAGAAACTCACAGCTGCAGCTGCCAGAAACATAGGAGGGAAATGATGCTAGTGTCTTGCCCACACTGGGGCGTCTTGTGCGAGTCTCAGGTTCCTGGAGCCCCGGCCTGGGCTGTGGAGGCCTCCCTGCAGGAGGCCAGTCTCCAGGGAACGTGACACACACTCATGCCCCCTCCTGCCCTAACGTCTAGCCCCCACCCCAGGCCCTCTCGGAGTCTGGGCAGCTGCCATGGCCATGCAGCTCAACTCACCGGCGCCACCCCGCGGGGGCTGAACCATCCTGGCCGCTCCCAGCCGTGCCGCTCCTGAAACACGCAGCCTTGCCCCAGCAGCTCCTGGTGAGAGGGGCACAGGTGGTCCTTTGCTCTGGCCAGCGGCCACCCCTGCGGGGCCGTGAGCAACTTCACCGGCACCGTGACTGGTTCTGTCACCCCAACCCAAGTGGCGGTGGGCCTGGTCCTCACACTCAGACCTGGTCTCGGCTGCTAACATTTCACCACGTCCCTCAGATGAGGGACAGTCCCTCCAGACAACCTCAATGTGGCCGGGGCGTTAATGATGGGTGCTGCCCAATGGCCAGAACTCTGCGAGGGTAGTGACTCCATTTATCCCCTCTGAGAGTGGGCGTGATCAAGGCCATGGCCTTCCTGTCCCTGGTGAGAGATGCAGGGACAAGACCTATGGATAGAGACCTCCAAGGGGGTCATTCGTCTCCAGAGCCACTAGTGGGGACAGTTCCCTATTCAACACAAAACCACACATCATTTGATGGCTGAGGAGCGTGGTGACACTGGAGCCCCACCTGGGAGGTGCCCCGTTCAGCCTGGTGGACACAGGTAAACCTGTGACACAGGTGAGCCTCCTGGAGTCCCTTCCCTGTACCTGTGTGGGGAACACTGAGCTGTGCCTCAAGGTTGGCTAGGGGTGCTAGAAGGCTTCACGAGGACCTGAGACCACAGCTGGCGCTCCAGGCTAGGCCAGCAGCGAGAGGCAGAAGGATTTAGGCGGCCCAGGACTGACAGCTTCAGCCTCCTCTCAGGAGATCTGGTGGGAGTTCCCTCACCGGGACAGGCCCTGGAGCCCCAGACGAGGGTGGCCCCTCTCCAGCTCGAAAGCCTGTGGCCTCTCCTTGTTCCCCCGAGCTCCTCCTAGGAGTCGGGCTCTGTGCTCAAAGCCAGGGACCTGGAGCAAGTGGGGCACAGGCCTGAGATATCAGAAGGCAAAGGTGACAGGGTGAAATGGAGGCATGGGCTACATACAGGTGGTCATCAGGGAAGGATCACCTGGGTCACCAGGGCCTGGGCTGCTCTGCAAGGACAGTCCCCAGAGAAGGACATTCGACAGTGGGTTTCAATGTCTGAGTAGGAGTTCACCAGGTGAGAAAGTTCCTGGACAGAAGCCCAAGTCTCCCAGTACACAGCTGGCTGGCTGCTCCCTCCGAGGTCTGCAGCTGCCCGCGACTGGCCTGTGCCTGCCTCAGATCTGCTCACAGCCCTTCTCCCAGGACACATTTTCCTGGAGTTTTCTGTCTCCTCCACCGGGACATCGGCTCCGTGGTGGGAGCTGTTCCCACTTTATCCAGCAGCAGGTCCCAGCCCCAAGCTCAGTGCCTGGCTGATCAGGGAGCTCAGTGAGTATCTGGGGACAGACAGGACGTCATCATGGCAGGGGTGACTGCCCTGAGGTCTTCCTGATCCCCAAGGAGGCCTCTAAGTCACCTTCCTGCCCTGCAGCGGAGGGGTGACTGCCCAGCTGTCCTCTTGCACCCCTTCCTGCGCTGGGAGCCTCCCCGTGCATGACAGAGCCTGGCGTACCTCATGCAGGGGGTCTCTGCGCATGTTGCGTCCAGCCAGTGGCTCATCGTGAGGGAAGACCACCGAGTAGTTCTTGGCGTAGGACTCATGGCTGCGCTCCCGGACCCAGCGGTGGTGGTCGGTTAGCGAGTGATGGAAGCGTCTGCATGGGCAGAGTGGGCAGGTCAGAGCCTTGGACAGCGTCAGAAGGGCATGATGCACCTCTCCAGAAACGGGCCCCACTGGAACTGGACCCTTCTGCAGCAGATTCAACACGGGGATGGCTCCCGGCTCCTCAGGAACTCAGGCCACCTGGGGAGAACCCTGGGCACTCGGGCAGTGGGCTGGGGGGACAGGCTCTCTCCTTCACGCCCAGGTCCTGCTGGGCACCTGCCCACCCAGCCCCCAGTGGACCCTGCGAGGGGACCAGCATTGACCCCAGAGCTTGAGGTAAATAGATCTGCTGGTCACCCTCCTTCTCAATAGCAGGGAGCCTCCCCCAGCTGAGTGGGGCAGGGCCAGGGGCCAAGGCTGGGCTAGGGGGCCTGTGGGGGGCTGTGACTGCTCCCTGCCACCCCCTCTACTCCCAGGGTCTCTGTTGTGTTTGCTGACTCCCCAAACCCAAGGTCCCTGCAGCCCTGTCACATCTGGAACATTGCTCCCCTGGAAAGTCCATGGTGTCAGGGCTGCCTGCCCCCAGTGTGGAGGGTAGGGCGGGTGTCAGGGTCTCCTGGCCTCTCTCTGTGGGTGTCTCAGTGAACCTCCCCTTCCCAGAGCTCAGCAGGCCAGGAGGGTGAGTCCAGAAATGAGCAGACAAGCAGAAGGCCCCTGCTATGCCCCCTTGAGCCCCAGGAGGCACACTTGAGCCCCCAGCAAAGAGAAGTGAGGCGTCGCCCTCTGCTGAGGCGCCAGGTCACTGCTGCGTTAGCAGAGGGCAGTGGCCAGCAGGCTGGCCCTGACATCAGCACCATGCTCACTTGAGCTCCCTGAGGTGCGGTGAGGAGTCCAGGAAACTCGCCCCTCAGCCCTGTGCACTGGACGGTGGTAGCTGCCTGCTCCCCTGTGGTCCTGTTTGTACCATCCACCCCAGAAGCTTGCCCAACCTTGGAGGGAACTAATGGTTCTGCCCCCGCCTACCCCAGGCCTCACCATCCCCTCCTGCATAGCTGGAGGCCCAGGGATCCTGGAGACTGTGAAGGGCTGGGACGTGCCCAGCCTAGGTGCCCACCACCCACTGGGGGATGGACTTCCTCCCCATGGGGCCAGCTCTGCCTCTTCAGAAAGCAAAGCCACTGCCACCCCGTCAGGACTCTGAGGACTTGGCGGGAGGAGACTGACGGTGCCGGTGATCCTCCCATCAGAGGGGCAACGGGTGGATCTGAACCACCAACTCCTCAGTCAGTAGCTCGACAGATAATGGTGCCACCAGGGTTACTTCAAGGAGCAAACTTCCTAAGAACAGCCCTTCCCAGAGACCCCCAACACACACTGCCTGGCTCCCTGCCTGTCCCCTTCTTGCCTTTCCTGGCCCCTCGCCTGTCCTGACCCCTCAACTGTCCCAGCCCTCTACCTGTCCCCCACTTGCCTATCTGGGGCCCCCATCTGTCCTCTCACTTGCATGTCTGGGTTCTCTGCCTGTTCCCCTACTTGCCTGTTCTGGCCCCCCACCTGTCCCCCCACTTGCTGTCTCGGCCCCCTGCCTGTCCCCCCACTTGCCTGTCCTGGCTCCCCATCTGTCCTGGCTCCCTGTCTGTCCTGGCCTCCCGTCTGTTCCAGCGCCCTCGCCTGTCCCCCCACTTCCCTGTCTTGGACCCCTCTGTCCCGGCGCCCCCGTCACAGGTGCAGTGCCCACCTGATGTCGTAGCTGTACATGTCTTTCTCCGGGCGCCCATGGACAATCCAGTGGGCCAGCTCCTGACCACAGCCACCACCCAGCATCATTCCTGGTGGAAACACAGCCCATTTCCAAAGCTCCCACCCCATCCTGAGCCCCCACACCACGTCCCCAGCAGCACCCTCCCCCAGACCTCATACCCATCTCCTGGGGCCCCTCCTCTCTTCACCTCTCTCTGGCCATCACGCACCTGCACTGTTGAAGCCACAGCCCAGGAAGAACCCTCGGAGCTCTGGCGCCTCCCCCATTAAAGGCTTGTGGTCCGGCGTGAAGGATTCTGGAAGGGATGAAGGCCTGCGGTTCTGATCTGTCTGCGCCTGCCTGGGATGGGGTCTCCTGAGAGGTGACCACAATGAAGGGCCTGCAGGTGCCTCCTTCTCCCAGATCTGCCTCCTCCCCCAGAAGCCACCTTGATTGCTCCTGCCCACGGTCACCTGTGTTCAGTCAGGCCCTCGCCAAGGGTCCAGACTTGTCCCAGGCCTGTTTCTAGCCCCTTCTAGCCACACAAAGCCGAGCCTCGTATTTATTATGGCGAATTAGTTGTCACTTTTCTTCCCTGGACTAAGAGTACCACAAGGACAGGCCTTGGGCTTTGCACCAGTGCTCTCAGGACCGGCCCAGCCAGGGGGACATGCGGGGCCGAGGCAGGGGTCTCATCAGCCATCGTGTAGCGCTGGCCATGCAGGGCTGGCAGGCTGCATGGGAGACTTGAGCCAGTGAGAGACTGAGTCACTATGGGGTCACCAGGTCAACAACAAGAGGGGCCATGGCAGCGTGCAGGAAGCAGGACCTCCTCCAGGCCAGGGGAGGACCCTCACAGGGAACAAGGCAGGAGGGGACCTGTGGGATGCAGGTCCCCTCAAACACTGCTGGGTGGGGGGTGTCTGAGTGGTGCTGGGTGGAGAGCCGGGCTGGTCTAACCTCGGCCTTAACCACAAGTCTGGCAGGGGATCTGGGGTTCTGGGCAGTGGCGGGGGTGTAGTGGAGTTCCTCGCCTATGCACGTGGCACACACCCCTTTCCTGGAGGCCGAGGGACAGGACTAGAGACAGCTTCCACGTCAAGAGAGACGCTGAACCTCATCACAGCTGGGACATCAGAAACAAAGGCCCGATGCGCCTCCCCAAACAAGCCCCCGCCGCCCGAGCCTCCCATCTAATGAAGACAGAGCACCCAGCTGTCTACACCCGGGAGCCACTTCAGGCCAGGAGTGTCTCGGTGCCAGGTCACTCCGCCAGGCGAGGTGGGGGACACAGGGAGTCGGCCACCACCGGCTGCGTGCTTGTCCCTAGCTGACTCTCTTAAATGGGTCACAGCAGTCAAGGTCATGTGGGGATGCCAGGGGGCTGGGGCAGCTCCCACACCCTCCCAACTCAGCCTCCTGGGCTCAGGACCCTGCTCCCCAGCCCTGCCCCCACTGCCCAGGGGTCCCTGAGGTCATGCACTCTCCCAGACCACTCTGCTCACAACCCTCACCACGTCTTGCTGGGCCCCCTGCACCCCCACGGTGGCCTCTCCTTCCTTCAATGACATGAGGGTCAAGCAGAGAGGGACATGACTCATGTAGCCCAGAGCCCATACGTACAGCCACCTTCCTGGGTAGGGGTGCAGGCACCCGCGGGCCAGGGGAGGAAGGGGACCACAAGTCCCACACTTGTCCCTACCGCCCCACACTCCTCCCTGCATATGAGCCCACACACCTCATCTGGGTGTTGGGCTCTGTGCTGCCCTCCCCCACCAGCCTGCCTGCACCGCTGGCCATGCCCAGGCCCCACACTCACCTGGGCCACAGACTGTGGACTTGACCCCCGTCTTCTCCAGCACAGGGACCCGGTTGATGGCACCTTGGATGTGCTGGGTGAATACATCCCAGTCCAGGTCAAAAAGGCCAAAGGCAAACCTGTCTGACACCTGTGTGGACAGGGCAGGGACTGCATCCAGTGATCATAGGGAAGGGACAGTGCCCAGGGACAATAGCCCAGACCCTTGCTCCTGGCCTCACCTGTGAGCAGAGAGTCAGGCTAGGGCTGAGAGATGTCGGTCCCCTCGGTCTGTCTGCTCCACTGTCACATGTCACAGCCTGCCTTCCTCCCCTCCTTCCACACACCCCCATGGCCTTCTGCTCTCAGATCTCCCCGACTCCCACCCCCCTGTGGTGGAATTCTCCCCAAGACCTCACTGAGCCCACCAGGCCCACCCCTCCCTTGTCTGGCCACACTGACCTCTGTCAGTTCTGGGGTCACACTGGTGCTGACCTCTGGGCCTCTCCCCTTTGCCCTCCTCTCCTGGGTAGCTTGTACCCAGACCATCCATAACTGGCTCGTGCTCTCTGTACAAGTCTTGTTCAAATACCACCTCTACCAGGAAGCCCACCCTGACTGCCAGTTCAGAGGCCAGCCTCTCCTGCTGGCTTTCTTCAGGGCCCAGTCATGATCCGAAAGCACATTGAGTGTTTACTTGCTTCTTGACTGTCTCCGAGAGGCACGCATCCTGGGCAGGGATTTTTCTGTAAATTCCACTGCCCTAGCAACTGGTGTCCTCTCCAGACCATAAGGCTCAGTCGCTGAGTCTGGGGCTGAATTCATGGGGGACTAGGTAGTCACAGGGTGCATGAGGAGGGGCTGCGTTCAAACAGAGCAGAGCTCTGGGCCTGGGGGAGAGGCTGCTGAGGGAGGCAGTGCTGTCCACTGAGGGGGCTAAAGATTCCCCATCTTGCAAGGTGTTTCCTCCTCTCACTGAGGATACCTGAAGGTCAGCCCTTCACCAGCCTCAATTCTGGCTCTGTTTTCCTTAGGGCGCAGAGAGAAATGGGGTTCAGCATTTGTGAAGCCCAAGAAGCTGCCCTGGCCAGTCCTCCAGTGGGCAGGTAATGGCATTCAAGTGGTCAGGGAGTCAGAAAGGTCTTTATCTCTCCTGAGGCCAGCCCCAACCCCCCCAGACACTCTCAGGGGGAACCCCTAGACCCCTTGGTGGCTCACCTCCTCCCAGAAGATGGGGTTGGCCTCATAGCCGCCCACAGACAGGGCATCCCCCTGCAGACGGAGATACACAGACGCATCATGGTCTCGGACGTTGGGCATGTTCTGAAGGGAAGAGAAATGGGGCCTCCGGTCAGTAGCATGGCCATGCACCTGGGGCCTTGGGGTCCCCTGGGCCAGCACCTCTAGCAGGGGACAGAGCGGACAGTGGGTCCCTCATGCCTCCTCTTGTGATGGGCCCTGGAGGCCAGTATGCACCAATAGTGCCTTGTCACGTGCAGCAAGGTCTGTACCCCACTCCAGTCTTGTATGATTACAGTCCAGGACTGAGAAGGAAGGGGAGGGGAGACGGGAGGGGAGGGGGAGGAGCACCTCACAAAAGTCTGAGGATCAGGGAGACAAGGCCCACTGAAGGTTCCAGTGCACAAGGAGAGACCTCTGTGAGGCGGGAGGCTGGGTGACAGTGGGCCTGCCCCCTTGTGTGGCCTCTGGCCCGCTGCAGGCTGGTGGGTGGGCATAAGCACGGAGCCCTGGCTAAAGGTCCCCCCAGCACTGGGCCTGGGACCCCACTTCACACAGAGAAAGCTGCTGTCTGACCCTCCGAGCAGATGGGCAGGTCGGGCTCAGAGGCCCCAGATCTGACCTCAAGCACTGCGCTCTGGATCGTGGGGCCTGGGCAGCTGGAGACTTCAGGGCGAGGCCCTTTCCAGCCCCTCTTCCGTTGCCTCTCGGCAGGAGACACAGCCCGGCTCTGAGGAGACTCCGGACTTGAAACTGTGGCTTCTCACTCAGGCAAAGACCACAACTCAACCCCTGCAAGAAGCCCCCCAGGCAACCCTCCGCAGCTGCCAAGCCTCCAGAAACACCCTCTCAACAAGACCCGAGCCAGGACTTCCTGACGACCCACCAAGAAGGTGCTACAAGAGTCTGATCAGGAGAGAGGCTCAGGAGGATGTGACACCCGGAATGAAAGCCAACTGGGGGCCAGGAAGAGGTGTGGAAAAGAGAGAAAAACCAGGATGTCCACCCTGAAGGGGCCACAGCCACGGGGCGAGGGTTCAAACAAGAGCAGGTGGGGACCGACCCGTCACTGAGCGGATTGTCACGCCTCGCTCACGGCTCTCCAGCGGAGATTGACACACAGCTGGTCGTCAGGGCTGTCGGACATGCAGGAGGAGACGGCCCCCTCGCTCTGGTGGAGCTGCAGGTGGGTTCGGACGCTGGAGACCTGGACCCTTTAGGTTAGTGCACATTTCCCTACGACTGTACCGCCAGCACTCCTCTCATTGTCTGTCTGTCTGTCTCTCTCTGTCTCTCTCTCTCTCTCTCTCACACACACACACACCTCACCCGCACTGCCCTTTTAAAAACTCAAGTGTTTGCTGGAGTGGCCTGGTGCAGATTTTCAGTGTTCTGGACATGGTGTAAAAAGTATGTAGTGACACCATCGCAATCCAGATACCAAACTCATTTTTCAAGGAGATGGAAAGGGAAATTGTCAAGTTTATGTGGAAAGGAAAGAGATCCCAAATAAGCAAAACACTTCTGAGAAACAAAAATGAAGGGGGAGGCATAGCACTCCCTGACCTTAAAACCTACTACACAGCGGTAGTAACCAAAACAGCATGGTCCTGGTACAGTGCCAGGCACACAGACCAGTGGAACAGAAATCAAACCTCTCAAATGGGGAAGTGCCAACCTCTTCAACAAATGGTGCTGGCAAAACTGAACTGCTATCTGCAGAAAGCTAAAACAGGAGCCACATCTCACACCATACACAAAAATCAACTCAAGTGGATCAGAGACCTGGAAATGAAGCCCCAAACCATAAAGTTCTTAAGAGACAATCTGGGACCAAACTTAGATGGCCTAGCCTATGGTATAAAGAGACTGCCAAATACAGCCAGAAATGTACAGTCTGAACAAGGATAAAATTGATGAGTAGCACCTTTTAAAGATTAAATCCCTGTGTGCATCAAAACTTTTTCCAACAGGGTGAAAAGAAAACCTACCGACTGGGAACAAGCATTTGGCAATACCATCTCAGATAAGAGTCTCACAACAAAAGTTTACAGACTGACTACTCCTGGGCTTCCACAATAAAAAGACTGATAACCCAGTTTCAAAATGGGCAAACGACATGGAAAGAATTTTCACAGAGGAAGATATTTGAATGGTTAACAGACACTTAAAGAAATGCTCAAAATCACTGGCAATAAGAGAGATGCAAATCAAAACCATAATGAGATATCATCTCTCTCTAGTATCAGTGGCAAAGTTTAACAAGACAGCAAGTAATAAATGTTGGAGAGGATGTGATGAGATAGGAACTCTTATACATTGTTGGTGGGATTGTAAAATGGTACAACCACTCTGGAAGGCAGTTTGACATTTCCTCAAAAAGCTGAACATAGAAAACTCCACATGACCCAGCTATTCCACTGCTTGGAATATACTCCAAGAAAATGAGAACTAAGACTCAAATGAAGACTTGTACACCTATGTTCATAGTAGCGTTATTCGCTATCACAAGAACACAGAAACAATCCAGATGTCCAAACACAATCAAATGAATTGAGAAATTATGGTACATTCACACAATGGAATACTATGCAGCACGCAGGAGCAATGATTTTGTAAATTACTACCTGACTTGGGAGGGACTGGAGAGCATTATGCTGAGTGAACTAAGCCAGTCCCATAAGGACAAATACTGTCTAAACCCATTATTATAGAATGCGTATGAGTAGCCAAGGGAGGGAGGGTGGGAGCAGAGGGGTGAGGATGGGTGGGGGGTTAATCATAGGGTCTCAGAACTTGATTGGAGGGAGTGAAGGAAGTGAGAAAGATCCAGTGTGAAAAACAACGTATTCGAACATGGTAAATAAATCAGTATCATTTTTCTTTTTAAAATATATGTAGTGATCTCTCATTACCCAATAATCTCATCAGTTCTAAGAGGATTAAGGATGAGATGCAACATCCTTCATCCGTGTCAGCCCTGATAGGACATCAGGGAAGATTCCCAGGGTTGTGACCTGTGATCCTTTTTATTTTACAAAAGATAAAATGGGAGAAAAGTGAGCAGAGAAGGGACTTCACTACGACTAAGAAAGAAAAGCCAGGATGGGGCTTGCTTTGGACTCAGGGTCCCTGTGGGGTGGACCTCCGAGACCCAGAACCCTCATCAAAGACACCTGGAGCTGTCCAAGGAACCCCGGGATCCCAGGTGCTGGAAGGAGGCAAGGACCTGCCTCTGGTCAGCAAAGACAGAAGCGCCCCCAGAGCTGAGACCCTGGACTTGGAGCCTTCTGAACTGTGAGAGAATAAATTACTGCTTGTTAAAGCCACTTTCTTGTGTCATCTCTGTCACAGCAGCACAGAGAACCAAGACACACCTGCCCATGTGTCTCTGCCACAGCAGCAGTGGAGAACCAAGACACACCCACCTGTGGTGTCCCTGTCACAGCAGCACAGAGAACTAAGACACACCTGCCCATGTGTCCCTGTCACAGCAACACAGAGAACCGAGACACACCCACCCATGGTCCCTGTCACAGCAGCACAGAGAACTGAAACACACCCACCTGTGGTGTCCCCGTCACAGCAATACAGAGAACCAAAACACACCCACCTGTGGTGTCCCTGTCACAGCAGCAGTGGAGAACCGAGACACACCCACCCATGGTGTCCCTGTCACAGCAATACAGAGAACCAAAACACACCCACCTGTGGTGTCCCTGTCACAGCCGCAGTGGAGAACCGAGACCCACCTGTGGTGTCCCTGTCACAGCAGCACAGAGAACTGTGACACACCCACTGTGTCTATCACTGACAAATGGTCCCAGACTCTAGAGTCTAGACTATGAGGCTGTGGGGTCCAGGTTTGGGACAGCCAGGGATCAGATAGTGGGCAGGGTGTCTGCCAGCACACGGCTACCAGTGTCCAGCCAGGCAGGTGGGGTGGGCAGGAGGGTAGGTGCTTTAGGGGGATCCTAGACAACAGCAGCCTCTCAGGCCATGTCCCCCAGCCCCCTTGGACCTGCCTGTCTGACCTGCTAAGCAGGTGGACAGGGCAGGCTCAGAGGACGACTTTGGTTGAGACTGGCTGCCCAGATGTGGTCTCAGGAAGTCTCTGGTGATGACTTGGAATGTGTCCTACAAATTTATGAGGACATCCTAACTACCTGTACCTGTAACAGTGACCTTGGAAGCAAGCTCTTTGAGGATGTCACCCATCAGTGAGGACCACTCTGGAACAGTTGGTGACATCATCAAATTAGTCCCCACCCACAGTGATCCAATGTGAGTCATTCATACAACAGAACAAAACAGCCTCCCGCTCCCCCCGCCAGTCCTGGGCCGTCCTGAGACCCTGCAAAGCTGTGTCAGGCCGTCCTGAGCCCCCGCAGCACTGCGTCAGGCCATCCTCTCAAGTTTCCCTCTTTGTCACTGACCCTCTACATTATGAAGCCGGTCCTTCTCCATGGACAGCCCCTCCTAAAACACACCCAAAGTACGTGAGATCGAGCCTGCCAGCCCCTCTCGCGGTCCATGCCCAGCATCTAAGGAGCACTCTAGCTGCACTCCCTCCAGGACAGGAAGGCCTGACCTCACCGGAATGGTGTCCTTACAGGAGACAGGCCCAGAGAAGGGGGCCATGTGGCCACCATGGAGTCATACTGGGGCCCCCAGAGCCGGGTGAGACGAGGAAGGACCCTCCTCAGAGCTTCCCCTCCTGAGATGCACAGGGCGTCTCCACCGCCCAGTCCCCTGAGCCACAGACACACCTCTCTCCTCACAAGCCACTCAGTGCTTGGCTGTGGCACGCCACTGGTCCCACAGAGCCAGGGTCTCCCCAACCCTGTGTCCTCTGCAGGATGGGGAAGTAAGTTTTGGAGGTCTGTGACCAGAGGATGTCTCCTGCACCCCAGAACAAGCACAAACCTGGCCACACATGGGTCCTCCACCAAGTGTAAATGAGGGGGGCCCCCAGCATGGACGTCAGGATTCACAGGTCCAGCTCTTTCCTCTTTCTCCTAGTTGTGCTTCTTGGTGGAATGGGGGGACAGAGCCGGGCTCTGCAGTGCAGTGGCTCTGACTGTCCACTGCAGTCCGAGGGCGACCCCTGGTGGCCACTGTGTCCACAGCAAAGGACAGCCCAGCACACTCAGGCAGAGACAGAAGGGACGCAGACCCTGGCTCCCACCTGCTCCACTTGCCCACCACTGCTGTCCACGTACCAACCTGACATCTCCCCAGTGAGTGGAGGAAGCCAGGTGCATCCAGGTGGGCCCAGGCATCCCCTCTCCGCAGATCCTGGCACCAGACGAGGGCAGCTTGCTTCCTCTACCACACCCCCGGCTCCCTCCAGAGCTTCATCCAGCCAGCCCCATCCCTGCTGCTCTCACCATCTGAGACCCCCAGCCTGTCAGGGTTCGATTCTTTCTGTAGTCACCACCCTCCACCCCCATCCCAGGTACAAGAAGGCAAGATCAGGGCCTTGTCCTCTGTAACAGGAACAGATGGCTAGATAAAGGGGTGGGAGATGGATATAGAAGTGGACATGGGTGGGTGAGTGGGTAGGTGTATGGTTATAGAGGTGGACATGGGTGGGTGGATGGGTGGATACAGAGGTGGACAATGGGTGGACACCTGGAAGGAGGGAGGGATGTGCAGGAGGAGAAATGGAGGCACAGGTGAGAGACGGGATGGACACAGGGATCAACAGAAGGGTGAATGAACAGAAGGACAGTAGGATGGACAAAGAAAAGAAAATTAATGAAGGACCTGAGGGAAGGGCGGAGGGAGGGAGGGAGGAATATGGGATGAAGGAGGGAGGGAGAGAGAAGTGTATTAGGAAGCTGTAATGATGGGTGGAAGAAGCGATGCAGAGAGAATCAGATGATGGAGTGAGGAGCAGAGGGAGGCAGTGAGGGGCGCAGGGAGGGGTGAGGGAGAAACGGGGGTGGGTCTGGTGAAGAGAAACAAGGGAGGGAGGAAAGGAGAGGTCAACAGCTGGCCCAGGGGGTCAGTGAGAGAGGGAATGAGTGGATGGATGGAGGGAGGGGTGGGTGGATGGATGGATGGACAGATGGATGGATGGATGGATGGATGGATGGAGGAAGGGATGGATGGATGGGTGGATGGGGG